GCTGTGAGTTTAAAATCTCTGTGAAAATCAGAAAGTGCTTGTCAAGACATGGACATGTCCAGGCTATTGTATATTGTATATGTATTTGGCATGAGACAAATATAATTTTTTGGAAGTTCCTTACAATTTCAATTTGATCATCTTTATTCTGTATCATAAAGGTTGGATTGATTTTACCATATTTACTTGGAAAATAACTTCATTGAATAAAAGGGTACTTACAAAAGTATTATTGCATTATCCAGTCCAACTATCCTACAAAATCAAGAGTCGTTGGTGTCTAATTTTTCACCAGCCTAACACATGAAAATCAGTAAGTTTTTCTCGACCACGACTCAAGAGTGAATTGGTTTCACCTTCTGCAAAACTACATCATCACACACACACACGCACATATATATATATATATGCAAAAAGAAACATAATAAGAGGCTAAAATTAAAAGCAAATTTTTATACCTGTACTGCACTATATATTATTACTTATATTTTTGTGAGAAATATGCTAAAACCTTTTAACAGATTATACTTGAATATTTTTGTAGAAAATACTTTTAACGTTTTTGTGGGAATTTTTGAGCCAATTGAAATAATGACAATGTATTTTTACTGCAAAAAAATTTAGAGGATGCATTACTTGTATGACTGAAGACATAGAATTATACATTTTACTAAGAAACTGAATTATTTGCTTTGCTTAAATAGATATAAATCTGTTAAATAATTTCTTTATATAGGAGAGATGTGTTATAGATTAAGGTTGCAATGAAAAATTTTAAAATTTTGTTGGTTATTTATGTGTTTGTTGTTTTATCCTCAGTAAAATCATCAGGGTGACAGGTGACGGAGGACGAGGACGCCTGGCGTCTAACAGAGGTAACAGGCATATGTCATATTCCCTATCCAGACGCACACTCCCTGCGGCCCATAAGGCCACCGGGAGTATCGATACTTCAACATAATTACTACTACTCATAAAGTACTGCCTACTGATAACATATAATTCTGCTATTCGTAAATTACAAATAATTACTGCTTGTACTGAATTACTGCTTGCACATAAAGTATGCTTGCACATGAAATATGCTACATTATATGATTACACAATATGGTGGCTTAATATGATGCTCAGTTAATAAATACTACATACCGTTATTTGATACATAATTATCATTATTATGATACAAATTAATATGATAATATGATACAACACTAACTTAATACATTGTACATATGGCACATCAGATCGCAGTTCATAATCAGTGAATGTTTTTCAGTTAAAGAATATACTAGTTGGCAATGCACGGTTGCAACACATATACTGTTGCACTATAATAACTGCTACTTACACATAATTACGCCTGCTGATGACACATAAATTACTACTATATAAGTTACTTGCTGCACTTAAAATCTGGTTACACATTAATATGTACATTATTAATAGATTGTACGGCAACATTCGGTCACAGTTTGCCTATTGGTATTCAGTGCGGAGTAGAATCATGCTGTTCGCAGAAAGGATTATTACTATTTGCATTGTGCATAGTGCGTTATACCTTGATACATACATATTCTGTTGCATTGTAATAAATACTACATACTCATGAATTGCTGCTGTAGACTAAGTTCCTGCTTAAACGTAAGTTATGCTTACAGATAGTATATACATAAATATCATAAATACTCTTGCAGTACTGCTGCATAGAATACTGCTTGCATATGAAATACGCTTGCATATTATGACATAGATACTCATTAATACTGCTTACTATAAGCTGCTTGCACATGATGTTTGTTTGCAACAGAAGATACGATTACATATAATATGATAATGATACAATAAACATATATATATATATACATTATACTGCTAATTACTTTACACTAAATACTTACAAAATTACTAACCTACTGCTTGCATAGAATGCTACTAACTTAATGATAATAATTACATATATCAACATTAACATTAATATGACACATATGAACTTACTTTTCTTGCCTACGCTAAGTTACTCTTGCCCTTGTTATGCTAGCATAAATAATGATAAGATTAATACATATTCAGTTGTACTGTACATAAATACTACGTACACAGATTGCTGCTACTGTGTTGCTAAGTCTGCTTATGCATAGTTATGTTACATATGACTACTGCTTAAATAGTATGATACATAATATCATAACTTCTCCTTACAATAGTTACTGCTTAACATTAGGTGATAATAAAACTCATAATTATGCTAACATTAGTGATACATAAATACTCATAATTATGCTTGACCTAAGTTGTCACACATATTCCGTTAACATATTTGTGCTTGTACAGACAAACCTACTATTATATATATAATACATGCACACATTACACATTAATAACTTAATATATTATAATATATATTACTCATAAATACCTTGCATTAAATACTCTACATCAATATATACATAATTACATACCACATTACATCATACATTATTACATATACACATTACAATTAATATGATACATAATTAAGGCACACACATTGAAATACATGACAAATAATATACATAGAGAAAACACGGTCAACAAAAATATACAAAACATAACGTACAGTATACAAATACACACAATCGACATTAAAAGCAAAAAATATATAAACATTATGTTAACAACACATGCAAAACATAAAACTACTTATAACAGTGGCAGTGCACGTTATACTATAAGGTGCAGTGCACACTTATAGTGTCAGTTATAGTGGTAATCATCGGGTGCTAGATCTGGTACTAAGAAGAACTAGTCATACCTTTATATATTACCATGGAGGTAGGAAACTAAGGAGGGCCAACGGCGTAGAGTGAAGCCTGCTTTGAAGTTGGGTCCCAGAGGGGTTTCTTTTTCATCAGAAGGCTCTTGACAGTTTCCGTATTTTCGACACACGCAGTCCATACATATAAAAAGCGACACTTTCGCGGAAAACATTCATAGTGTGTGGATAATAGCATTTGTATAGTTTAGTGACATTTACAAAAATCAATCTTGTTATTTTTCGATAACTAAAACAGCGATTTTGATTATGAAATTGTTTTAAAATTTAAGCTGTTGAACTACAAAAATAAGATTTAAGAAAAATGTTATGTTAAAGATGAACGGTACATTAAATTTGTATACGTCTTTCATACCTGATAGAGTATTCTACTTTTATTTATTTTCCAAACGCCAAATGTTTAAATAAACAAATTTTTTTCCATAAATTATTTAACATGTACCTTTTAAAATTTTTTAGAGAAGAGGCTTTACTGCTGCCCATTTTAACTCATCGTTTTATTTATATATCTGAAAAATAATCACTTTAGGCTTACACGTTTAACTATTTGGGTATTAACATAAAATACCATCAAATGCTGCAATCCTTGTCAAATTAATAAATAGACACACAGATATGCATAAGTTAGAGTCCCTTCATTTGAACCACACTTGTATAAAATTATTCGTTTAAACAAATGTGTGGAAGAAGAGGTTTACATTTGCGAATTTGGCGGAAGTACCATGTGCGGTCAAGATGTTGTGACCATGCAAACGTGCTACATCATCAAGACAGCTTATTAAGAATTTGAAAATAGGGTAATCCACGGAGGTGGAAACATTGTATATCATGCCAAAGAGGTCCGATCATGAATGTCTCTTATTGATTCCAGATTGTTAAATGTTTCCCACACAAGTTTTTTTCCCGGAAATTCGAGTTTTATGCTGGTCTTAACGTACGCAGGTCATTAGATTTATAAATGTATTTGAAATGAATTATTAACTTATAAACAACTGTGAAAGTACTGTGAAGAAATCTAATTATAAATGTATCTAATTTATAATGATTATAAATGTTATCTAAATATATAATAACCTTAATATTGAATTGTAAGCATAAATTGAAATCTGTTTGACAAATACGTTATAAAACTATTTAAGCAAGAATTGTTAGTATTGGAAAGCAATCTGTTAAAAGGTATTTGAAAAAGCAAATGCTATGAGATGCGCACTTACGAACGTAATAAAGAGTTTTGGAATATGTATTGTTGAATTGAAGGGTAAAAAAAAATCTGATAAGTATAAGTAAAAGAATTATTCCCCTTACATTTTATAATAACTCAGTTACAAGTTTTAAATAATGCTTAAAAAAAAAAAAAAAAAAAAAAAAAAAAAACTTATTTTATTCCCTTTCAGAAATGTTCAGAGAAAGTCAAGTACTATTTAAAGTATTTCGCTAATTCCTAATAATTCTCTAATTTAAAATGAACCAAATAGAGCATTAATTATAAATTGACTTACATTTTTCGATTTAAAAGATGCCTCAGAAGCCAAAAAATCATGTCATATTTAAGAAAGTATTTTAGGAAGAAGCTCTATAAATAGAAAAGAAATAATGCATAATTTTAATATTAATAATACAATAAACTTTGATCTTAATTTTTGTACCTTAAATGAATAAAATCAAATTAATTTTTTTTCTAATGTAATTAACGAAAACTTGTGAAAATATTTCATTCAAATTAAACCATTATGAGAAAACTGTCCTGTGAAAAGTATAGCATTTAATTCCGTTCAGAATGAAATGTTTTTAAAAATGTTGTTTTCATATATTTAGGACTCTGAAGTGTTGTAGAAAAAAAGAAAAATATACATTTATAGTATATTTACGAAGTAATTACAAAATATTTACATCCGAACACGTCAAATCCCATTGAACTCAATGGTAAATGACCCAATGTTTTGGTCACCACGTAGGGATCGCCAGCGCTTCAAAGCAGGGTACGGGAGAAACTTGTTTAGGGCTACTCCATCTTACTTCCTACCTCCATGTATTTAACAATACTGAAGTATTTGTTTAGAGCTTTTCTGTCTGTTCTGTTTACATTTTAATTTTTTATCCTACCTAATGCAATTAATATAAAACTGCATTTAATTACAGCAAACCTCCAGACAGTGCCATTTATTATTGTCGAGAACTACTATGCTATTCATCGGAAGGGAACAAAGTTGAATTGTTAACGGTGACATCCTGTAAAGGACTCACAATGGAAAGAGAAAAAAAACTGCCAGATTTATTTCCTGATGATACTAAGCCAAGATGTCATATTTTCGAAAATAAGAAGGTAAGTGGATATGGTCATTAAGTGAAAATGTGTTAATTCATAATTGCATTTCAGTAAGAGAAAGCATTGTTTTTATGTTTGAATTTCTACTGTTAAAAAGCTCAATCATTAAAATGCTAGTTTAAATTTCTGTTAGTTTAAAATAGATGTCTCAATGCCGCATTAACTCTCAGTTTACACGCATAAACACTTATCTTCATCCCCGCACAGTATTCACTCTCTCCATTTCATTTGAGACAGTAGCTCAAGTCATTCTCTATATGTATGAATTTATCAATAATTGATTTTGTTGGCAGGCTTGCATATTTGGTGGGCAGATTTAAAGTTGGCATTTTATTTTTACTTCCTTATTTTTCTAGATGTACAGTTAAGCTATAACTAAAGCTGATAGGTGATTGTAGATTAGACAACCTGCATTTCTAGTAAATTACTTAATATCTTAACATTACAAGTGATAAGTATTGGATCATGTTTAAAGGCCTGTTTGTACTCAAATTTGAATTGCTAATAATGTTACTTTTCACATTATTGATCAAAAGCACACTTAATTATGTAGGAACATGTGCATTTCATTAAGAGGAAAGTGCATTAAATTTATCAATTTGCATTAATAAATTTAAATAATTTTTAATATAATTAGTTTAATCAGCTTACTTAACATTTGTAATTTAATAGACTGCTTAAAAAATTAATAAACTGGCTTAAACCTTTTATTATTAACTATTTGAAGAATGCTTTACATTTTAATTTATGATTTTAAATAAACTTGAATGAACTGTAATTTGAATATTGGTGCTAATAAAAATAATTTTGCTGGAAAATTTCTTTTACTCGGTAGTTTTAGTATATATATTTATTGCTCAAAAAGTTCATATTTGAAAAAAAATTATTATATTGATGTTTACTTTTATTGGCTCACTAATAATTAAAATATCATATTGTCCACCAAGTGGCTATATAACAGATATGGGCATAAATTCTGCATATACGGGCATAACTTCTGCATACTAAAATATAGTTTTTTAATCATTAAATATATTTGATGTTAAATAGGATAAATGGATGAGTGGGTTAATAGTAATAAATGTTTTAAAAAATAGCCTTGTTTTAAATCTAATTTAGTACAGTCGAACTCTGTTATAACAAGCGTGAAAAGAGTGCAGTATTTGCTTGTTATAACCAAGTGCTTGTGAAAAACAGGGTCATAAAAAATCATAAGAGTTCATACATATTTACTATATTATATATACTTTATTTATGTTTTATTTCTGTTCAGTAAAAAAGAAGTTGGTTAATTTGCTTTGAATTGCCTTATTGTCTCTTTCTTTAGTTAATGTTGTTCAGAGAAGACTCATGCCTTGAAACACATCGTCATTTGTACCCCAGGCTCCGAAAAAAGTTTGAAGTTTTTCTGCACACTCAGAAGCCATCGAGTATATTTGGGGGTGGTTCAGCTTAAAATTCTTCACATTCATCATTATCATCGTTGTTTTCATTATTTTGTATCATCTGCTTTAATTTCAGCTACAATATCCTTGGGAGTAGGTAACTAGGAAGTGATATTATTGGCATCAGCAGACACATAATTTTAAAATTCTTCTTTATTTGTTTCTAAATTTTCAGTGACCTCTACTTCCTTTTCTTTCTCAGTGATTTGCCCCTCTTGTGAAATGTCCAGTCCAGCCTTACAGAAGCGAGTGGTAATGCAAATTGACGTAATGTTTTCCAATGCATCATTCATTAAAAATGTATTACTTCGAGTACAACCATTTAAAGTTGTTCCTATTTTTTGTCTCCTGTCAAAAAGCATCAAAACAAATGCTTATGAAAATTTGATTTAAAACTTCTGATGATCTCTTGGACCATAGGCTGTATAATGCTTGTAGAATTCAATGGTACAAATTCAATCCTGATCATTCTGCAAGACAAAAAAGGCTGCCATCACATGTTCGCAAGATTTATGACTCATCACTAACTTTCGGTTAAATCAGAATGTTAAAGAAATTTTTCCAAGAAAGGATTAGCGGAGCTGGAAAGGTGGAAGTCAATAGATATTTTATGAGTCACATAAATATTGCTCGCTATAACCAGGGTTTGATCATTAAAATCAAGTTATGCCTCCATAGACTTAACGTTGAACCAACCAAGTATTTTTTATTTATAAATTCGGGTTCTTGTTATTATCTATATCTTTAAATATTTCATTTAGTTTTTTAATTTTCTCTGATTAATCTGACAGATTTCAAAATATTGTCATTCTTAAATTTCTTTACTTTTAATTTTCATTTTTAAACTTGCTAATTCCAAACAATGTTCATAAAATCTCAGTTCTATCAGATATTTTTACAGAATTTGATCTGCTATCTTCCACTTAAATTGTTTAAACATGAATTTAAAACTTAAAGTGCTTCTATATAATTAAAATTTTGGATTAATTTTTACTGTCAAAAAATCAATTGATGATGATATTTTGAAATTATTTTAGATTGATTGAAAAATTCGCTATTTTTTCTGTATGTAATTTTGTTTAAAGAAGAATCTAAACATGTTAAAGAGAAATGAAGTGGGAAAAGAGAACTGTGAGACTCAGTAACTTTCAGTAAGAGATAGTACTATGGTTATAAAAAGAAGCTAAAAGAAAAAAAATAGTAGTAAGGTAATTATTGTAAAATAACTGATTATAATTACAGTGGCTCACATTTATTTTCAGACATTTATATTTTAAAAATTTATTTGCTTAGATCTTGTACTAAATTTTCAAACATAGACTCAAAATATTTTTGCATTATATTATTTTTTCTCTGTTTTAAAATGTGCTTGTTTCAAAATAAATATCATCAAAATATTCTTTGTAATAAAGTAATTTATTCAAAATGTATTAGTTAGTAATTTATATAATAAGTTGGACATAGTTTCAAAATAAATATCATTAAAATATTCTCTGCAATAAAATAATTTATTTAAAGTGTATTCGTAACTCTCATAATAATTCAGACACTTAAAACTTTTGTTGAGATGTTTTAATATTTGAAGTTTCTTGTCACAATTTTTTATTTTAAATAAAGATACATCACGAGAATCATCTTCTGCATTTGGAAATTATTAATTATTACTTATTTAGCAAAATATATTGTTCCATATCTAAAGGACACTGCAGACTTAAAAACAAGTTCTGTTAGAAATTTAGTCATCTTTTTAATGAGGTAAAACATTCAAAATATCTAAATAAGTCTTAATGTAAAACACTCAACTATCTTCAATGGAAATTGCATGGAATTGTTGAAAATGCATTGAAGTCTTGACCATATTCCAAGCTAATATGAAGGAGTCAGAGATTTATCCTGCAAAAAATCAAACAAAACCCAAATATTAGTGCTGTTAAACTTGCATCAGAGTTAGAAGAACAGTTTGCAATAAATATTAATCGTGAAAATGTTAGAAGAATGATTAGAGCATTTGGATCAGCAAGAAGGAAATTCTTTGCCAACAAGGAAACAGGGGAAATATGCTTGGTGTTTGCAAAATTTAGAGTAAGCAAAGATTTATCGTATTGAAACATATTTGAAAATGAGGCAAATTTAATACATTTAGGTATGATGGATGAATTGTGTGGTGAAAGCCAAATAAAAGATTGAAACTAAAAATCTAATTGTCTGTTGTTAAGCATGAAGGTAGAGGCATGATGGTTTGGGGATAGTTTGCTGCCAGTATCAGAAGTATAGTTTGTATAGAAAATAATACAGGTGAGTATAAATATTTAAAGATTCTTAATCGAAATCTGTATGCAAAATATTTTCAGGTTCTATCAGAGTAACAATACTACACATGCAGCCTTAAATGTTTGCTTATGGTTATTATACAACTGTTCTGAAGTTGCCAAAATTCTGTCATATTATCCAGATTTAAATCCTAGCAAATGTATATGGAATGAATTGGAAAAAGAATAGAGAAATATGATATTATATAAATAAATATGATATCAAAAGCTGTACTCAAAGGAAATCTTATAGAGGATTAGTACAAAACAGAACATTCTTACATGAAAAAAGTTAGTTGAATCCATGCCAGAGTCCATGAAAGGTGTAATTTTAGCTTAAGAATATCCCCCAATATGAGCATTTTTATTAAATACAAATTGTTTGTCCAAAGTGTCTGAATACTTGTGTGAGTTCATTTTTAGAACTTTTTGCATAAATTATTTGTTTTTTACGAGAACATTTTGAAAAATTTTTTTTTCCACAACAGGCAGGTATGAAAAAATTATCAATGGTGTACGGGGAAAAAAAAAGATAAAGTTATTTTGCTGCTATTTAGTAAATGATATTTGCAAATAAAATTAGAAAAGATGTGTCAAAAAAATGTGAACTATTGTGCATTATTTGGTATCTCTTCTTCAGTGTATGGGAAAAAAAAAAAGATAAAGTTATTTTGCTGCTATTTAGTAAATGATATTTGCAAATAAAACTAGAAAAGATGTGTCAAAAAATGTGAACTATTGTGCATTATTTGGTATCTCTTGACACTGAAGAAACATTTGCAACTACCATGTCGCCACTAGATCAAAAATTATTTTTCATGTGGTTTATTCACTTTTTTCTGTTTGTGAAAAAGAGATGCTATTATTTTACTGTCTTTGACGTCTTGATACCAGTTGAATTTGAGTAGAGATATTTAAATTTCAAGGTTAAAAGTAATAAAATGTTTTAAAATCAAAATGTAACAAATTTCTTTGTTATATTTAAAGCAGCAAAGAACTGCATCATCTATTGAAACAGGTGATAACCAAAAAGTAGAAGATCTGGACTATATGAAGTATGAATGCAATCTACTTAGCTGTCATATTCTCTTCTGAGTTAAATGTACAACATTTGAAAGAACATTATCTTGTTACTTTAATATCTTTCTGTGGTTAATAAGGGTCTGGAATTTCTTTATTAAAGCAGTGCTAATTTGTTCTGGTTAAGGGTACTAGAGCTCAGAATAACTAAATTCTATAGATTCTGAAAGTTCTATTGTAAGCACAGGATAGTTTAATACATAAATTTTTTTATTTTCTTTTTTAAAACTGATAACTGGCTGAAGTCAAGCCACTGGTTTTTCATTTCAAGATAAGTGAAAATTTTAGCATTTTACTGTATACAACAGTTTATATGTTTAAATGCTTATTTTGGCAGCTGTATGGAAATTGTCAACATAGCAGTTTCCAGAGAGTTAAAGCCGTGTTTCTAAGTTGGTTTCCACATTAAGTTTTCATATTTCTACCTCCACCCCCAAGTTTATGTTGCAAATATGAGCCAATTTCCTTTAGAAAATCATTCACAAAAGCTTTCTTCCTCTCAGATAGATGATGTTTGAGAATTTTGTTGTTATAAAATAATCAAATCATATTACGATATTGAGTTGGCAAATAGCTCTGAATTGTACATTTTAATGCTCTGTAATAATTCCAATTTTTTTTTTGTCTATATTTTGATTTTCATTAGATCTTTCACATCTTCAAAATTTGCCATTGCTATATACTTCCAGTTAGATCTTTGTAATCATCATTAATGATTTGCCGAAGCTGGAATGTTGCTGTTCTCTCTGACACCATAAGTATTTGGTTCACTTATTAAGTACGGTTTAAAAAAATGAAAAGTCATTTGAATGAGAAATTCTATGTCTTATTTTTACTTTTTTTTTTTTTGATGAAGCATGTTTAGCATCTGAAAATATTATATGAATCAGGATGCCGAAATTTTGAGACTAAATCCTCAATGTTATACTGTTGAAATATATTCATTTTGAAAGAATTTTTCTCTACATGCTTCTAACTTATGTAGATGTCTTCCATGCCCATTTGAAATATATTGAGTTGTCTTCTATTCTACTATTGCTACACTGCAGTTTAATCAATCATTTCAACTCAGCTCAAGTGAATGCAGGGTTCATATAGAGAGGTAAAGAAACTCAGTACTAGAGCTGTGGATGAAATTGTTTTCATGTAATGACATCCACAACTTCTCTCTCCAAAGGTTTAAGACAAAAACAGTCTTTCATATCAGGAAATACCTAGCATGACCTTGCTTTAACTGCATATTCCCTCCCCCCTTTTTGAAAAAATCAACTTTTACATAGCTTCCAGGTAGCATAGTTGTGGATTGTCTTATGTTTTCATCTGCAGAGATAGGTGATCTTCCATTTAACATATGTGGGACAATGTTTGGATCTTGTGTCAGTAATTGTTAATATGTGGCCTTTAATGTCCCTGAACCAGAGAAAATTTTCTTAATCTTTTAATGTTTGTTTGGCATTTACAATCATATCAACTTGCAAAATATCTTCTTTTGGTGTTACCATTTAGCTGTTATCTTTGTCATCTTTGATGTATTCTCTGGAACAACCTGAAGGATTAATGACATTTGAAGATAAGATCAATACTGCATTTTAAATTTTATTTAAATACTTTTTGTGCAAGTAAGAGTATTGCCTGAAAACCATTTCATAGCTTTCAATTAAACATTTCATAACTGTTTAAAATTTCCAACTTTCCATTAAGCATCTGTTCAAGTGTCCACAGAACGCATTTTTCAGCAAATGCTATTCTTCATTCATCTTTGGCAACAGAATCTGCACCTTAGAAATCTCAAAGTGGCAGTCCGCAAGCTCATTCTGCTTTGGAAGCAATTTTATGTGGTGCATGAATATATTTTAGGCATGTTATAAATATGGTGAGGCAACCCATGTCAGAAATTTATAATCCGTAAATTTGATTTGCCAGCCTAATCTTCAGTCAGTCACTAGGTAATTAGTTGGATGCATAGCTGTGCAGTTTATATTACTAAATAGTTGAAGACAAACTAACATATAACTGTTAAAAACTATATTTGTGCCTATTGTTAACCCTTTGTGGCACAGTGTGTTCGGTCTGGACACACCTAAAAATTTCCTTCTGTATGCACAGAAAAATTGAATAAAAAAGGATTTATGGGTTGCTATAGGTTACTCTGTACCTTCTTTATTTATAGTAGATGACAGCTCAACACAAACCAGTCCATATATTTTAGCCATGTTTAGTTTTAGACCTTCATTTTCAAAGAAATCTTCCAGTTTTTTAGGTATAAAAGGAATTGCTTGAAAAGAATTCTATGTTATTTTTTTTGGCGGTATACTAATGTCCATATTCTATATTAGTTTTAAATTTTTACCTTGAAATCTTGCATGAAATCAAATGGCGAACCCTAGGTGTGCCCAGACTGGTTCACCGATAATCTAGGACAACTGAGAGTCTGTATTCTTTGTTTCTCCGCATCTTATTGGTCATTTCATTGACAACAATGCTCGTTTCAGCACACTTTTCAGAGCTCTATTCAATCAGTGTGCCCACTTTGGGAACAACCACAGAATTAAAACAATAAGTGCTATCGAAACTCTTTACAAAATTTTACTTGTGTACTCCTCTAGGCCTAATTAGACTGCTTACCTTTTTTTTTATCAAAATTCCAACTTTAAAAGGTGGCGTGCCGGAAAGGGTTAAATCTACAGTAGATCGATAATTATCCGTTAGAACTGTGCAAAAATTTTTAGAGTTGCTTTTATGCGACAATTCATTTTATTTCATTAAAGCTGTAAATAAATTATAATATTGATTTTAATTAAGAGATTAAACTACATAAATAATTAACAAACGGAACAAAGAAGGATGTGTTTTTCAAGGTTAAAAAATGTGTACTTTGGTGTTATTATGTAAATAAAATTTTATGTTATGAATGTATTAAGAGAATATTATTTTGAAAAGAATACAATGTATACATTCAAGTCTCTATTTCACAAAGTTGCAGAACCTTGCAGAAAACTTGCTAAATGGAGGAATTAGCAAAATAGAGGTTATGATAAAAAATGATTTAAGATGAGAATTTTTAAAAAATTTTAAATGTAAAGTAGTACTAAAATGAAATATAAAAGAAAAATTACATATTTTCATTTAATTCCATTCCATCAAAGTTATGTATGAAAATTCATAATAACTCTCCAATATCTCCTCTTCAGTAGGAATTCCTGAGGTCTCAACATTGTTATCTATAAATAAATGAATAATCTGGCAATTATTCATTATTCTTTAATTGTCCTTGATTTTGGAACTGCAACCACATATTATTCCAGCTATTGATCTTGCTCGCTGTCAATGACTTTAATGTTATCAGTATTATCAGTCTTTGTGATAAAGCCATCTTTTTTGAAGCAACTGTGAGCAGGTTTTTCAGTCACATCATAATTCCATAGTTTTGCAAGTTCAGATGTACAGTCGCATAAATTTATTATACGTAAGGTCTGATTACTTTCACTTCTTAGTAGGGCCTTCTTCAAAATTTTCTGATAATAGTTTTAACACTTTTTATCACCCCTTGATCTATAGGCTGTAGTTTTTCATCAGTATTTAGAGAAGAGAAAAATCCTTAGCATTTTTATACTTTTCTTTGATATCTTGAGGTTGAGCAGTAGAATTGTCTAGTGATAGAGCAATTTTTTGTTTCTCTGTAGCCATGAATTTATTTAAACGTTTTAGTCCTTTTTCATAAATGTTTGAGGTAATACATGAGTTTTTCATGAGATCATAATCTATTTCTAGTAATTTCATACTTCTGAAATATCTTGGATTTTTACACCTTCATATAAATGAAGGTTTAAGTTTTTTATTTCCTTCCATGTTTACACACAGCAGTACACTAATTTTAACTTTGCTATGCTTGCCTCCAAAATAAATATTTTTTTATGAATGTTAATGTTTTCTTCAGTTAACAGTAATAAAATAAGCTGATTTCATTGTCATTGAAGATATTTTTTACACCATATATTTACATGATTTCTTTAAGTTTTTGATCTTTTCAAATGACACATTCATCTTCATTAACATCTTTGCTTTTGCCACATTTGATTTTTCCAACTATTGCATGCCTTTTTTTGAATTTCTGCACACACCCATTGTTTGCGTAAAATTCACTTTGTTCTAAAGCTTTTGGCAAACTCCATAGCTGTTTTTGATATTATATGCTCTTATACCAATATACTTTTTTTTTCTCTCACCTTCCCCCCTTTTGAACATAGTAATTTGAATGTTGCTTCATCAATGTCTTCGTAAACACATGCTTTCTTATATTTGGCACTTGGATCCGTGTAATCAACCCTTGATGAATATTTGGCCTAATTTTTAAGTATTGTCAATAAACTATTTTACACAATATCAGATTGTATTTTGATGTCTTTCTTTTTACACCTTTGTCTACTATATCAAGAATCAGCATTTTTTCTTTAAGTGTTAGACATTTTTGGTTTGGCATTTTTATGATTCACTGCACAACTAACTGTAGAAAGGATTTTCTGTATCAAACTACAAAAAGTGCAAATAAAAATAATGTTCAGCTGTTGCTTAAACTGGTTTGAAAAAGAGGATTGGTTGAGAAATATTTTATGATGGGGTGGGTAAATGCTTTCTCATTCAAGAATCTCCCCTCCCATACTTCATCCCTTAGAATGGAATGAGACAACAGATAATGAGTCATCTTGTATTCTTTAGGACTACAACTGCATGCAGGTATGTGTCATAACAAATGAATAAATAATTTTAAAGTAGAAAGAAAATTTCAGAAAATTAACCACTGCGAGAGCTTTGTTAAGTAGACTGTATACTTTGCTATTTGGATTTTTTTATATTAGAAAATTCATTCCTCAGACAGAATTTAGCAAAAAGTCTGTTTGTTACCAACTATGACCAAATATATAGAAACCACTTGGCATAACAAGGAGAAAAACTGCTTCTCAGACAAGATGGATTTCAGTTGAAGAATTACGGTGTGTCAGCTGCATATGAATTCTCTTATGTGCCTTTTTTAGATCATAATACGTTTAAGAAAATAAATATTTATTTTAAAATAATGTATGTATATTGTGTAATAGACTTGACTGACAAATAATCTATAATTTCAAACAGCTGGTGTAACCTTTTTTACTTCCTAAAATGAAGCAAAGGAAGTATCGTAATTGTGAAAAATTTCGGTTATCATATTTCAGTGAAAATATCCGTTTTGACTGCTTTGGAATCCATTTGAGTGATGTTTTTGTGTGACATCTGTAGGTACAGATAAAATAAAGGACTCTGTTTTTCCAAAATGGATTGTAAAGTGGATTTAAAATGGATTCAGAAGAGATTTTTTTTGTGATGTCTGTACATCATACATACATCATTTTTGAGTTATGGGAGATACATATGTATCTCCCATAACTCAAAAATGAGTAGCCGTAGAATGCTCTAATTTTGTATATGAGACTGCTATAACATGTAATACATTTCCCTTTTTTCATTCCTGTTGGTTGTACTAAAGGTTTATATATATATACACCTACTCTGTTACTCGGCTTGGTGAGCTCAGTTTTTTTATTCTTATATGGTGGTAAATTGAGCAATTTTTTGCTTTAAAAGTGATTGAATTATGTTGTTCTTATGCTCCAGTTAAGATTTTTATGTTTTTAGTTAATCAGCATGCAGTTGTTGTAGAATTATCAATTTAAAAGTTTAAGTGGCAAAAGGCTTCACGAGGCTGCCATTTGTTTACATATGAAACTCTTAATAGAATAGAGAATTAAGTCAGGTGGTGCACCAACATCAGTGTCTTTCTACACAATGGGACCTGTCTGCCTTTTTATGCAGAAATGCTCAAGTCCTATTGCCTCTTTCTGCCCAGCGGGACCTTTCTGTCAGTGAGACCTTTCTGCCTTTTAACAAAACAGCAAGGTTTGGCCATATCTATGTGGAAGGGTCACTTAATGCCCAACAACTCAGTCTTCCAAGCAGAGGTGACATCCTTGAGGCAAGCAATAATAGACTGTGCTGCTCTTGGATCATGCAGCGTCAACCTCTTCACTGGCAGTCTCTCAGCAATTTTTGCCTTAAGGAACCCGTACCATCGGTCTCCACTCATTGCAGTAACAAAATAAAAAAACCTCCCCAAGTACACCAGAAAAATCCAGAACCATTAATGCCGAGTGATATCAGTCATTTTAATGCAGTATGATGGAGCAATACTGCAAAATACTAAGGTGATCCATAATTTTATTAGATGATAATTTTGGTGATCATAAAATTGTGTGTACTTTATGGATGGTAAGATATCAAAACTTGACTTTTCTCTCTTTTTTTTTTTTTTTTTTTTTTGTATAGATGTATGTGGGGGGGGGGTTATTGGGGGGGATTATTTTAAAGAAACAGCCTGCATTTAGAAACTCGAAAACTTAGTTATCAGCAATGAAGAAGTGAAAAAATACAGCCTTAAACTTTGAAAAACTTTACGAAAAATTCTAAACGAAACAGAAAATGCTGGAAGTTTGTAATAATGAAGAAGGCAGCACTTATGCTATAGCAGTTCATATATGAGCTTTTTGTTCCCATTTATGTTTAATTAGGTAAATTTTTTATGTTTTCTCTCTTATAACTCTGACTTGTTGCTGATGGATAGCAACACGTATAATATTGTCAGTCATCTGAATTCAGTAGCCTTAATGAAAATTTGAAGATATGCTACCAATGCATAAAAATTTAATAGAAAATTTAGTTAAAAATAATGGTTCAGACATCACAAAGAGAGGATAAAAATAATCTTGACAGAACATAAGAGACTGCAGTTATTTATGTTGCAATTATTGCATGTTTTGAGGCACTTATTTTCAGGATATTTTTTAATTCACTTTTCTAACATGATAATCTTTTACATGTTAGCGATGTATCTTTTATTAAATTTCTTTATATTTAATATTAATATGAATAAATTTTTATTTGTGTGGTATATAATTTCGCAAAATTCAAACTTGTAATAAGCTCTAAAATTGCATGCATTTTGTAATTTTTTTTTTTTTTTTTTTGGTTAGAAAAGTATTTGTCAACTTGGATTGGATTTAAGTTAATTGTGCAAAAATTGAAACAATATTTATTACTAATTATTGATAAATTACAGGATTTATATTTTTTAATATATTTAATCTAAAAATATTAAAAGAATCTAAGAAATTCAGATGTTAATTATCATGCACATTTTATAATAAAACAGAAAAGTGTACTATTTATTGTTGCTTGTGTAAAGTGAATATAAACATAGTCTCGAAAAGATCTTTTTCATAGGTATCCTTTCCTTTAGTCAGCAGCCTGACATTCTTCTCTAAAATTGATTAAACAAACTATTATTGAATTTTTCAATGCTGTGGAAAATATTTTGCATTTTTATTTCATTATGCGCATAAAAAGTTAGTCTGTGCCCAATATTGATTAAAATATATGTCATTACTATGATATTTTAAATTATTTTCATGTGTAAACCTATATATATATATTTATGAAACATATTTTTATGAAAAATTTCTCTACTGCTTATTTATGTCAGTATATATATATATATATATATATATATATATACATTATGCATATGTATTTTTGGTCAGTGTCTTTGATAGGACCGTACTTTTTCATATATCAATTTAATATTTCTGTTATTCTATGGATTAATTTTTTTTCAGGTTATATTCATTAGCAGCAGGGTCCATCCTGGAGAAACTCCTTCTAGTTTTGTGTTTAATGGAATGCTTCATTATTTAATAGGTTCTAAGGACAGCATTGCTAATCGCCTCAGGAATCTTTTTGTGTTCAAATTAATACCCATGTTAAATCCTGATGGTGTTTTACGTGGACATTATAGAGCTGATATACAGGGTTTGAATCTCAATCGTATTTATATGATAGCTAACTTTCAGCAACATCCATCTATATATGCTGCACGAACTCTTCTTCTTCATTATCACACAAGTTACTCGACGCCCAGTGGTTCAACTGACATAAGAAAGAATTATGTAAAGAAATCTAGAAGTAGTCAAGTAAATACGAACTTTAGACGAATCGAAAGAAATCCGCCCTCTTTTACTTCTAAAAGATTGCCCAAAGATTTATTGAACCAGGCTAAAACGTCTTTGCGGAAGCACCCTTTGCATGCTTGTGATACTTTAACTAGGAACCTAAACTTCTTTTCATCAGTTCCTGTTATGCTACCTTTAGTGACTAAAAGCCAAAGTACTGTATGGGGTCCAAGTGGCCTTGGAGTTGATGGAAATTCACCTAAAAAGTCAAAAAAGCTTTCTACTTTAAGAGTGACAAAAGCAGCCAGCCTTAGTGTTTCTATGGAAGACATGAAAGAAGGTGAGAGTTCTTTGGATCCATGCAGTGAATGCAAGCTGCCTGATTATCCATCCAAAAAGGTTAATTCTAATTTTAGCTTTGTTAAACATCTTAAATCATTTTTATTTACAAATTATAATGCAATATATATCAAGTAAATAGGTATATGATCTCTGTTTCTTTTAAATTTTCTTCTAGTTTACATTCCTCGGTGGCCCCCCCCCCAAAAAAAATGTATGCACATTTTAATATACAAGTATTTTATACGTATGATACTCTTTCTAAATTATTGTCTGCTAGTTGAATGTGTAATATGATGGTTTGCCAACAGATATTGTTATTGTTGTGATATTATGTTAACCAATATAACACTCTCTGATACAATGAAGTTCATTCTAGAAAGTGCAACCATAGTGCAAACCTGACTGTCTTTCAAGTATGTGTAGGAGGGAAGGGAATCTGAAATGGTATTGTGAATTTCAACAAGTTCTGTCCTGAGGAATATGATTAACTGTTAGCATTCATAGGCTTTGCTCACAATCACAATGAGTTTGAAAGGGATCTAATAGTGATAGATATGCATACGAGATGATGAGGCCAACCTCACACAGAAAAAAAGTGAAGCATCTTTTGTTCATTCAGGTGTTAGATGCATTCATAGGCTGACCTCAAAAGTCAACACTACAATGTGCACATAAAATAGAAGTGAGAAGGGCAATTGTACATTGTATTTTGCACAGACCAAATGATGAGTTTACATTCCATTGGCTCTAATTTAGGAGTCAAACAACAAAAATCAGCATTTTATTTTCAAATTTTCACAGGACTAGTTTCGATGGTTTTACTGAATCATCATCCTCGGCTGCAGAAGCACAAATGAACCAAGCTCGTTGAATTGTTGAAGAACGCTGGCAGTTGGATCTGTGTTTGATTTCAGGCAAACAGGTTGTTTGCATGGCTATTTTCATGTTTTACCCCATGTGTAACATGGATACAAGCCAGTTTCTTGTAAAAAGTAATACATGAAGGCATTCCTCCCATTAGGCAGGATACCCCTTGCATGCTTTGCCATAGTCAAATAAACCAATCTAAGAATTGAGCATTGTTTTGAGTACAATTTTGGTTTTATCACTGAACAATTATCCACCAAATTTTCTCCAAAATTCCCTTATTGAAACCTTTTAGGCTTAAACTATTTTGTTACGAAAATGGTTAGCAATCCAAACACTAAAAATTCCTTCATTTTTGATTCGAGAGAGGAATTTAGATAAAAGACAAAAGGAATGACCTTAAGATTCCATTTAGACAATATTATATTCTCCCAGCAGAAACTTGTGGAAGTTTCAAGATAATTAACCAGTATTTTAAATTTAATTGTACAATATTTCAAAGTAAGGAAATTAATATATGTATAAAGCAGAAAAATATCGGTAGATTTCAAGTACCAGTTAAGATTTAGACAATTCCTGTGTGTAGCAAAGTTGATGTTGAACAAAAGCTTTGCTTACGGCTAGCATAAGTAAACAGGCCACCCAACTGGTATAGTGGTTAGCGTCACTGAAAGGCATTCCAAGGGACCTGGGCTCGAATCCCGGACAAGGCATGGATGTTTGTAAATGTATAGCGTTGGTGTGGCACTCTAGATATGCGGCGAGTCGAAAATCCTCTCGTGTGGTTTGGTGGAAAAGTAGAGGGTGTGACCCCCCAAGGGGTGCCTTCCATCAAAATTGGGGGCGGAACTGAGCTAAAACGCACTGTCACCTGTAAGGTGCTGAATGCTGGTTGCCTACGACAGGTACATTTTGTGCTCCTTGCCATGAGGAATTTCATGGGCTTGGGCTGATGTTACTGTCACACAAGTGAGCATAAGTAACAACAACATAAGTTTACAGACCGTGTAAAGAATGATACACAATTCACAGTGAAGCCATAGGTCTGTCAAGATTTGCTAAGGTGGGTAAGTGACAATCTGCTAGCTGAACGCAACTGTTGTTTTGGAAGGTTAGGAACTGCGTAAGTGTTGACATCAAGATATGGAGTGTTGTGGAGTTAAATGATTGGCTGTTGAAAGGTGGAGTCAGTGCTGAAGATGGAGATGACAAATTAGCACTTGGGATAAACAAAACGAAATAAATAAATAATTTTAAAAAAGGAATCTTTTATGAGCCAGAAGGGTGTGTGAATAAAATAGGTTTTTGCGGGTATAATTTTAGTTAAAAAAATACTGAATGAATAATTTACAAGCTTGTTCAAACAGTCTACACAACTGTTTGACTTTTTCTAAATTATGGCTATTCTTAATTTGGATTAGTTGTCCAGTAAGTAAGTTTAGAATAGATAGATTTAGATATTTTCATCCACAAAAATTTCTTGTATAAGTTTGCATACAGTAAATAACAAAGTTGGTAGGGATTAGTTGTGGAATAAGATTAGTGCTTGGGATAAGTTCTTTTTCTGCTGAGCTCGTATGCCTGTTATCTCTATTATTTTCAGGTGCGTTTTCTGAGCTTGTAGTTTTGACAACTCAGGCATAACTTTTGTCGACTAAAGTAAGAATACCTATGATAGGAACTAAGATGATTTTTTAAATAGTTACAGCATGTGGAGGTGCCTATGTGTTTGACTTTACATTTATTAGAGAGATATGCTTTCGCATAGAACGTGGTTGGAGCCCTCAGTTTTCAGATGACTAGCCAGTATTATAGGCGTTAAAATACTGTAGTATAAAATTTTTATAGTACTTTAAAATTTAAAGTAGATAGTTCTACAACAATTTTTTTCAGTTGGGCAGTCCCCTGGCAATCCCTTAACTGCTGTTTTAGTTGGTGTGTCAGATTTGTGCTTACAGTGTAATACTCCCTTGAGTTGCCGTTTAAATACCTTAATATTGTATTGCAATCATCCATTCTTTTCAGGGATAACCATCAGAGCATCTGAATGAAATTTACCTTGAAATATAGTTTTAGTATTATTTCCAGTTCCAGAGAGTATGTTATGAGGATCAAGCTTAGTTTGAATTTAAAATATTTGAGGTGAGGGGGCGGATTGGTATTGGATTATTACAAGTAGGACTAATGAGTTTTCTGTTTTCCGTTTTATCTGGGGCAGCGTAGTTTCCTTATATCACGTCAAGTTTGTTCTCTACACCTTACATCTTCGCCATCGAGTGTGGATCATAAGAAATGCTAGTGCTCTCCCTATTAGCTGCCATAAACTCTTCGATTGATGGCTGGTGAATGATTCTGTAGAAGACAAACGGCAGGCGCATGCTTGTCTACACTAGTTCAGCTACGGCTGAGATACTGTAGTGAGACAATGTATGTCGCTCTGATATAGTGAAGCGCATTCCAACGTGGACTCTAAGTTCTTGTTTGTGTACAAGGTTAGCAGTGTTTAGTTTTTATTTATATATGAACTGAAAGCTTTACTATGTCTGCGTTTGCTAGTTCTTGTCGTAAGTGCTTAAACAGCCCCGATTCGTTTTATTTATATGTATGGAAGTTTTACCTTTTCCAGTCAAAGGACAAACATCAGTACGTTTGTTAGGTAAGCCAATTTAGCCTATTTTAAAGTGAAAATCATAGGCCCCACATGCAGTGTGTTAAGAATTTATGGATATAGATAAATGCCATGCTGCTTAGATGAAGCACGTTCTAAATTTCATTTGATATACCTATGATTAGGCGAGAGCTCAAAGAGCACTCAAGTGTTTGTTACTTTTGTATAGTGAAAACGTCAGGGTATAACAAAAAAAAAAAAAAAAAAAAAAAAAAATGCATGTCTTAGTTTATCATTTGCTATATGCTCAATGACTCACTTAGCTGAACTCCCAGTACCGGTTTTCAAAGAAATACCGTCTTTGGAAATGCATGAATACGACTATGATGAATATCCAGTTGACCCCAACGACGAAGATTTTGAAATTTAAGATAATTCCGTTCGAAAGGGATTTGACCAGAACGATTTGGGATGATTTAGGACTACCTAAAAAAGCCTCAGAGTAGTTAGCATCAAAACTGCATGAGAAAAACGTGATTAAAAAAAGAGCTAAGTTATCCGACTTTCGATTAAGAGAAAGTGCGTTTCTGCAATACTTTCGAAGTGGTAATGGATTAGCGTATTGCCATATAGTACATGGTTTAATTGAAGAGTTGGGTATTTCAACCTGTAACGCAACTCAATGGCAATTGTTCATCGATAGCAGCAGAAAGTAGAGCTTGAAGTGTGTCTTCCTCCACAGCGGAAATGTATTTGGTGCAGTCCCAATAGGTTATTCAATTTATTTGTGTGGAGAATATGAAGAATAAAAAAGCCTCAGAGTAGAAGAAGTAAAGAGAGCCTTTGGTTTGTTGCAATATGACCTTAAAATGGTTTGCTTCCTTGGGCCAACAGCGCGGATATACCAAGTGTCTCTGTTTTTTGTATATGCGGGACAGCAGAGCTCGTGAGAAACATTGGTTGTAATGAAATCGGCCGCCAAGATCTGATCTGAACCTGGTGATCCAAACATTCTACATCAGCCAGTTATTAACAGAATGAACATCATATTGCAACCTCTGCTATATAAAACTAAGTCTCAATGAAGCAATCTGTTAAACTGAAGAAGATAGTTTCAAATGTCTCATTTCGTCAGTTCCTTGAAGATGAATATTTCATCGGAAAAATAACAGAACATCAAAATAATGCTTGGTTATCATTCAAAATATTGTCGAAGACTTTTGTGAAAATATACGAGCAAAGAATAATAGCGAAATTGTTCAGCGTCTTCCGGAGAGCTTCAAAATGCTAGGTTGCAAGATGAGAATCAAACTGCATTTTTTACGTAGTTATTTTGATAATTTCCCTAAAATCTTGTTGCAGTCAATGATGAGCAGGTGAGCGATTCCACGTCATGGAGGCATGGTACCAAGGTAGATGGGATGTACAAATGGCCGACTATTCTTTGAGCATCAAGCGGGAACTTCCACAGATTAAACACTCCAGAAAAAGGCATAAGCAAAATTTTTTTGCTTTAATATGCATATACTTTTGAGGCAAAGAGATGGTATCCTGTAGCTTAAAAAGTTGACGTGATAGACAA